GCTGAGAGCGGGCAAGGCTTGCCGCTGGGAAGAGCGACGACGGGCGAGCGAGGCGCCGGGCAGAACGCAGCGCGGAGCCCCCGCGACGCGAGCTGGTCGCCCTGGAGGGGTTCCGGCGACGCGCGCGGGTTGTCCGCCGCTCGGAGCAAAGAGAGCTAGCTGGCTGGCTGATCGAGGGCAAGGCTCTTGCCGCTGGGCAGAGCGACGACGGGCGAGCGAGGCGCTGGGCAGAATGCAGCACGGAGTTCCTGCGACGCGCGCTGGTCGCCCCGAGAGGGCCCCAGCGACGCGCGCGGGTCGCCCGCGGCGCGAGACCGTCGAGGGGCGGCGAGGCTCGGGCGCGCCGCTCCTCAGATCAAGTCTCGCGGATAAGCTCGGTGCAGCCCAGCTCCCCAGCGAGGGCCGTCGCCTCCCTCCTGCGCCGCTTCGTGCGCGCAGCAAACTGCTCCAGCTGCTTCCGCAAGCCCTCCGTGCTCTGCCAGGAAGAACTGGATGCGCGTCGCGCGCATGAGCAGGAGGTCCTCGTGGCGCGTGGCGCGCGAGAGCAGCGCGTAGAGCTCCAGCCGCCAGTCGTCGCCCTCCTTCTTGCCGTTCCCCACTTCGTGTCGGCCGCAGTCCAGGATCACGCCTGGGCGACGTCGGCCGAGGGAGCAGCGCGCTGGAATGGCGACGGCCCAGGGCGAGGGTGACGGAGATGCATGCGGACTGCGCCGCAGGGGCCTTCGGTTGAGTTCCCTATGGGGCCACGAATCGCGTGAGGAGAGTGCCGACATGAGTGGCGGGGGCGCAAGCGGACTGTGCCACTGGGACCTTCGGCGGAGCTCCTATGGGACCGCGAAGCGCGGGAGGGGCGTGCCGAAATGAGTGGCGGGAGCGCATGCGGACTGTGTCACGGGGGCCTTTCGGCGGAGTTCCTGTGGGGCCACGATGCGTGTGAGGGGTGTGCCGAAATGAGTGGCGGGGACGCATGCGGACTGTGCCACTGGGACGTTCGGCGGAGCTCCTGTGGGGCCACGGAACGTGTGAGGGGTGGGCCGAAATGAGTGGCAGGGACGCACGCGGACTGTGCCACTGGGGCCTTCGGCGGAGCTCGTGTGGGGTCACGAAACGTGTAAGGGGTGTGCCGTAATGAGTGGCGGGGACGCATGCGGACTGTGCCACTGGGGCCTTCGGCGGAACTCCCGCGGGGCCACGGAACGTTTGAATGGTGGGCCGGAATGAGTGGCCGGGACGCATATGGTTTGCCATGGGGACCTTCGGTGGAGCTCCTATGGGGCCACGAAACGTTTGAGGGGTGGGTCGACATGAGTGGCGGGGACGCATACGGATTGTGTCACTGGGACTTTCGGCGGAGCTCCTATGAGGCCACGATGCGTGTGAGGGGTGTGCCGAAATGAGTGGCGGGGATGCATGCGGACTGTGCCACGGGGGCCTTCGGCGGAGTTCCTGTGGGGCCACGATGCGTGTGAGGGGTGTGCCGACATGAGTGGCGGGGACGCATGCGGACTGTGCCACTGGGGCCTTCGGCGGAGTTCCTGTGGGGCCACGATGCCTGTGAGGGGTGGGCCGACATGAGTGGCGGGGGCGCATGCGGACTGTGCCACTGGGGCCTTCGGCGGAGCTCCTATGGGGCCACGACGCGTGTGAGGGGTGTGCCGAAATGAGTGGCGGGGACGCATGCGGACTGTGCCACTGGGACCTTCGGCGGAGCTCCTGTGGGGCCACGGAGCGTGTGAGGGGTGTGCCGAAATGAGTGGCGGGGACGCTGTTCCACTGGGGCCTTCGGCGGAGCTCGTGTGGGGCCACGAAACGTGTGAGGGGTGTGCCGAAATGAGTGGCGGGCACGCATTCGGACTGTGCCACGGGGGCCTTCGGCGGGGTTCCTATGGGACCACAGAACGTGTGAGGGGTGGGCCGACATGAGTGGCGGGGACGCATGCGGACTGTGCCACTGGGACGTCCGGCGGGACCCCTATTGGGCCACGAAGCGTGTGAGGGGTGTGCCGAAATGAGTGGCGGGGGCGCATGCGGACTGTGCCACTGGGACGTTCGGCGGGACCCCTATGGGGCCACGATGCGTGTGAGGGGTGGGCCGAAATGTGTGGCTGTGACGCATGCGGACTGTGCCACTGGGACCTTCGGCGGAGCTCCTATGGGGCCACGAAGCGTGTGAGGGGTGTGCCGAAATGAGCGGCGGGGACGCGTGCACAGTCTGGGACCTTCGGCGGAGCTCCCTATGGGGCAACGAAGCGTGTGATGATGTTGATGATGTTGGTGCTGATGATGATGGGGACGATGATGACGATGATGACGATGATGACGATGATGACGATGATGACGATGATGATGATGATGATGATGATGATGATGATGATGATGATGACGATGATGATGATGATGGTGATGGTGATGGTGATGGTGATGGTGATGGTGATGGTGATGATGATGATGACGACGACGATGATGATGATGATGATGATGATGATGATGATGATGATGATGATGATGATGAGGATGATGAGGATGATGACAGGAGGATAGCAGGGAGGAGGAAGGAGGAGGAGGATGAAACGCGGGGGGGTGTCTCTTCAAAACGAGGACCCAACACCACAGGATGGTCGGGCAAAAAAATAGAGCAACGTCAATGGTGGATACGCTCAGGGCGGGATGCGTCGACCCTGGAATCGCTCATTGATCGCCGATAGGGGCGCGATGGCTTCGCTCGGCCCAGGGGCGCGCGGTTGTGCTGTCGGGGGCCTATCGCCGACCAAAAGGCGACGCGTGGCTCTCGCGTTCCCCTCGCGCGCCCCTCGAGTGCCCCCCGCGTGCCCCTCGCGCGCCCCTCGCGCGCCCCTCGCGCACTCCTCTCGCGCCTCTCGCCTTTCCCTCGCGCACCCTTCGCGCACCTCTCGAGTGCTCCTCGCGTATCCCTCGCGTGCCTTTCGCATGCTCCTCGCGGACCTCTCGCGCGCCCCTCGCGCGCCCCTCGCAGACCGCGTTGGGCCCGCGGCCCACGCTGGCGCTCCCGTCCGCGCGCGGCGCGGCCGAGCGCGGCCGGATTTCGGCCGCGCACCGCGCGGGTGGCTTGTTCGTTTGCACTGCTTCAGGGGAGCGCCTGGAGCCAGAGATGCATCGAGGAAGAGTCAGCCAGCGCGGTCGGACGACACATGCGCGTGAAAAGGTGCCACCTGTAGCCAAGACGGCTCGGCATGGCCTGTCAGAGAGGCGCCTGCTCGCTCAGACTCACGAGTCGCACGGGCCCCTGTTCGGCCACCTGTGGGGCCGGGAGAGGAGGACAGGAAAGGGGGGACCTGTGGTTGATGCCAGCCAGCCTCGTAAGCTTCCCTGACCAGCGGCCCACTCAGCGGCTCGACGCCAGCGTCAGCATGGCGTCGCCTGCGTCCCTGCCGGGCCATTTTACGCGCTCTGTCGGCATCCGGTCAAGCCCAGCTGCCACATGCGGGGGCACCCTCTGGAAAGTTCCCGAAAGAACATCACGGCGACGCCTGGTTTTCATTTCGACATTCTTGACCACGCGTATTCTGGAATGAACTCATTGCAGACATACGGGGAAATAGTCCGCCCCGTTACCTGGTCGACCCCGTGCACATGAAAAGCATGTCGGGCCAACTGCTGTCGAGAATTGTAGTGGCAAGCGCACCTGGTTCACGCGAACGTCGCGTCCATCGTCCACCTCAGCAACCCGCTTCGTCGTAGCCCGCGCGGACACATCAATGACGGATCGTTCCGACTTAGCATCCCGGTGGGCTTTCTTGAAGCGCCGTGGGTTGTCCCCAACCACGGCGATCCACTTTTCGAGCGACGCCAGCCCTTCTGCGCGCATTTGAATCGGCGCACCTGCCGTCTCCACGCCATCATCATCATCATCATCATCATCATCATCATCGGCATCACCGGGATCGTTACCATAATGATCATCACCGTCACCATCGCCACCGCCATCGCCACATTCACATTCGCCGACATTGTCATACACAACCCAACCAAGCAACAGCGCGTGGCAAGTAGCCACCATGGCCATGAACAACCGTACGCGCATTGCTACACACCTGTAGGTGTCAATTGCCGCATCAACTACGCAAGGCACCCGTCGCCGTCGGCATGCCACGTACCACCAGCACCAATGAGACTGTGCAACTACATCATCACACGTTTCGCAAACCACACCTCCCGAACGTCTTTGCCGTCCGCTTCTCTCCGTAGCCATTTTGGCTCAAGATGCCTTGTTCCCCTGGGGAAAGAACGGATACCGCTGGTCCGCGGCCAGAAGTCGATTCCTTGTGATTTCACCGTGGGAGTTGGGCCCCCACACTCAGTCTTCCTGCGCCCTGTTCGGGAGGACCGCTCGCCGTCTCTGCCAGCGCAGAAGCGGCTTCAGCTCCCTACTTCTCCTCATGGCGGTTCGCGGTCAGCCGCACTCGAGGCGTTGGGAGTGCAAGACTTGCATCAATGCGAGGACGGGCAATGTCTGGTGGAACCACCCTGACGCCAAGAAGTGTGCGCTATGTTCGATGTGGAAGTCGTCTTGCTTCAAGTGCCACGTGGAGCCTCCGACACCCTCGATTCGGAATGGAGGAGATCCCCCTTGGCAGAAGGGCAAAGAGTTTAAGGATGCGATGGCGAAGATCAAGGAACTCGAGTCAGAGGTTAAACGGCTCAAGACTCCTGGGGCTGCAGCGGCCCCGCCTTCGGATGCGATTGCCATGGCCGTGGTTGCACAGGGCCCTGGGGCCGACGCTGTGGTCGAGGGCCTCAGCGAGGCCGAGTCTACGGAGCTGCGGCACAGGCTCAAGTCGATCGACGAGCAGCTGGCTGCACTTGGCAAGTTTGTCAGCGACGGGAAGTGTGTGGCCTACGCGCAGGGGCTGCGCGCGGAGAAGGAGACCAGACACCAGAGGCTGCAGGCGTCGAGGCCCATGTAAGCACAGCTGCTGACCTGGTCGGTGTGTTTCAAGACTGGTCAGCAGAAGGTGGACAAGATGCGAGAGGGTATCGCCGCGCTGCGGGACCAGCGGAAGCAGTTGGATGAGCAGCTGCTGGTGGCAGAAGCGGAACTGCAGACCCAGGAGGGCGAGGTTGCCGCATTGGGCTCGCAGATGCAGGAGTTGTCGGCTAGGTGCGGGTGCGCCCCGGCCAAGGCCGAGCTCGGCGAAAAGGTGCCTGGGATGTTGATCGACGTTGAGGCGCTGGGCAGGCTGCTCTCTCAGCGCGGCGCGGCGCAGGAGCAGTGCCCGCAGCTGGCAGGGGCGCTGGCGGCGGCCATGCCGCAGGCCATGCGGCAGCCAGCCCCGAGCGCGGGCACGGGCTCGGGGCCTGCCGCGCCCGTAACTCCCATCTCGGTGCTTGGCACCCCCGAGCCGCAGACGCAGCAGCAGTTCGCCGAGAGCATCGCCAAGGCCTCGGAGGAGCAGCTGCGCGCGCACCTGGGGCTTCTGCTGGGTGATGCATGTCCTGCTGATCTTCCTGGGCTGCGCGACGCAGCCAAGAGGGTGGCCGACTTGTCTCTGCACTTCTTTCCACCTGCGTCCAAGAAGGGGCGGCAGATGAGGATGCGTTGTGAGCCTGCATGTCATGTTTGGGAGAGAATGGGCATATGTTAGAAGCACTGACTATGGCTACGAAGGATGAAATGGTTTCTGTGAATGCGGGTGGAACGGCTCTTTTCAAAGTATTATTGGAGAGTTGCTCGTCGCAGGTTTTGAGTGTGCAGGAGCACCAGACGATGAAGGAGGATCTACCGTCTCTTCAGAGTCATGCTAAGGATTTGGGATACCACGGTATCTTTGAGGGCGCCAACAAGACGGATTCGGAGGGGAAGTCTGGTGGCGTGGCGATCTTGGCGCAGGGCCACATTGTCGTGAAGGCGCCTCCTCTTCTTCCCAGCCCAGCCCTTGAAGCTGGAAGGGTTGCTGCTGCGGACGTCGCCGGGGGAGTTTCAGGAGGCCTAGTCGCGATCGCAGTGTACCTCGTGTCGGGCGTTGGATTGTCGCCTGAGAACGAGGCGGTGCTGCTCAATATTGCCAACTATTATTAGCAGACCGATTCACGATGGAGTCGGGGGTATGTTCTTGCGCCTAGTTCGCCCACCTGTGTGGCGGAGCTGCCTGGATCGAGTATTGATTTTGGTCTGGCATGCGCCAACCGATCAACGAGGTGAAGGAAGCCCGAGGTGGTGGAGTCTTCAGCGGCTAAGGTGCGCAAGCCCGTGGTTTTCCAAGTGCTAGCTAATGACATGGACAGTTGGTGCAGAGATGTTCGGGAGCCAGTGCCGTTTCCCAAGATCCCGCCTATCGGTTGTGCTCGATTTCCTTTGGAATGGGACGAGTTGGAGAAAGCTATCTATGATGCGGAAGATGAGGCAGCTATTCGTGCGGCTTGGCATATCAGGATGGCCAACATCGAGTTAGAATTGCAAGGTGTCTACGACATGTGCGAAGGACCTGAGGCAGTGGCCACCTCTGGCCGTGCAGGACCAGTTGAGACCAGGCTTGCGTGCGTTCCAAATGGGCCCCTCCTCGACGTAGATTGCAGCATGGAGAGAAGCTGCGGGCCTACATGGTGGCTCACAGATGGTCTCAGCATCCCCTATGCACGCAGAGGTTTATTTCAAAGGCGGTTGATGAGATCCTGAGTTGGGAGGACATGGAACGCGTTGTCAACTTCCAGGCTGACTCGTTGCCTTTGGCGCACTTTCTGGTAGAAACGGTATTGTGCTATGCGAAGATTGGTAGCAGTGATTTCGTGCACGCGTTGCTTCCAGATTGGGTGGTCGCGTTCTTCGGAGGTCAGGGGAAAGGCGTTCTTTGGTCGAGCGATTGAGTGATGAGCGGAGTCGGAAGTGTGAGCGGGCGTGCGACGGGCATCTAAATTTTAAAAAGGTGCACGATAAGTTGGACCGTGCTCGTTGGAGAGGTTTCGTTAAGAAAGGATTCCTAGGTGGTTGTTCTGACGCACATCGGTTTCCAGGATCCAGGCCGCTCAGGAGATAGCTGATTCGGGCAAAGAGCTATCGCCGCACCAGCTTGCAGGCAGGGAGCTCGACACGTGGGCTAAGGTTTGGCATGCCCACCAAGCGTCGCAGTTGAAGTAGCCCGGTGACGCTTGGAGCTGGGGCGACCTGCCGTGCATCACGGTGTGCGTGATGTGCGCGGCGATCCTCAGTTTTGCCTGGGGGGCGGCAGCAGGGCCTAGTCGTCTCCCACCCAGGGCTCTCTAGTTCCGGTCAGACCAAGCTCTAGCGGCGATGGGCAGCTTCTTCATGCGCTACGAGGCTCTGCTGTTGTGGCCTACGAATCGCGTTCATGCTGAGATGGTGAAGATTCCGAGGGAAGGCGGCGGATCACGATTGGTGGCCCTGATTCATACCATCATCAGGGCATGGGCGCATGCGAGGCGTCCTGCGTCGAGAGCGTGGTTGGCGATGAACCCTTCGGAGCTGATCTGGGGGAATCGGCCTCGATGCTCTTCTTGTGCGTCGGCTTTCCCGCGCAACATCACCGCCGAGGTGGCGACTCTGTCGAATGAACATTCGGGCGCAGTCATGATAGACATGTGGAAGTGTTTCGGCACGGCGCTGGTGGCCGAGCTGATATCTGAGGCAAGGGCTGCGAGGTACCCGCTCACATTGTCATGCGGTTAAGGCGCGCGGCAGCTTGAGCGACATGATCGTGATGAGACAGGGTATTCTACCTGGTTGCACCCACGCCACCACGCAGCTGGCGGGTCTTATGATGAGGACCTTGCAGAGGGCACGGCTGGTGCATCCTACTATACACCCACGGGCTCTTGTTGATGATGCCGCGTTGTTATGGTTCGGCGATGACGCACGCACGTCTCGTGAGTTGGCGCTTGCAACCAGACGTTTTGTTCTTGAGGCGAGAGAGCTTGGACTGATCATCCAACCAACGAAGTCCTCTTGAACGTCCACTACCAATGCTGGTCGGCTTGAAGTCGGAAGATGGGCTGGCACTTTGAAGATCAGGTATCAGAGATGCACCAGGCATCTTGGCCATGATATGCACGGTGGTCGCGTTCACGGGCCAGTGGCGAAAGCCCGAATCGCCAAGCTGAGGTCTCGAATGATACGTGCATTGTCGTTGAGGAAAGCTGGTGTGACAGGTGCGCAAGTTATGGAAGTCAGGCCCCTTCAGTGCGTCAGCGCACGGCGCCTCTGATTTGAAGAACTTGCGGCACACAGCGGCGATCTTTGCAGTTATTTCTTCTGGTCGCATCAGCCACGCGGTGTACCTGTCGACCCATGACGTGCGCTTCCACGGTCCCATATACGAAGCGACGGTGGCCATCTGCCACATGTACAGCAGATCCTTGCTGGACCAGCGTGTCGAGCTTGGGCGACTTGAATGTGCATGGAGAGCCTTGCAGGCCAAGTGGGCCACGGGGTCATGCAGCTAGCTTGGAGCGAGAGGGCCGCTGGCGGCCACTTGGTTACCTCTACGGCGAGCTGGATGGGATATGAGGAGCAGTATTTCATGATAGTGGTGTGTGATGAAGGCCATGTGGTATCGTTGATGCAAACATGTTCTTCTGAATTTCGTGGGCTGCTGCGGGGGGGAGTTGCTCGCTGGCAGTCCAAGCAGATCCTGTTGCACTTGCCCGAGCACTGAGCGGGCGGCGAGGAGGTCTGGGTGCGAGCCTTACCTCTCGTTGTTGGTGGATCCAAGTGTGCGGTACGACGGTCACGGGTGGCAGGTGCACTTCGACTGCTATGGGCTGGTGGATTCGTGTCGGTATCAAAGCGGTTTGAGCGTCGTCTCCTCGCGACCACGACGTGCCCTCACCCGCAATGTTTGGCGTTGGGTCTGCGAGGTGCAGGGGCCCATGGTTTCTATTCATTCCCGACTCTGCTGGGGCAGCCGACTGCAGCAGGGCTCCCCGAGCATGATGAGGAGTTCGAGGAGACCAGGAACGCGCTCTCCGAGCGCGCTGTGAATAGTTTTGGGCACGAATGCTGGGACCTCCTGGAGTTTTCAACTGGGTTACCCCGAAGACCCAAGCCTCTTCCGCCATTCTCGGGAAGCCTGCCTGTCTTCGCCTGGGGAGATTGGAATTCTGATCCACAGACGTGGCCCAGCTGGGCCTGCACGGACGGGCCGGGGCTTCATAGTGCTCGGCTTGAGTTTCGGAGGTGTGGATGGGCGGTGGTCCAGGTGGGGGGGGGGATGGTCGACCGATCAGGGCCGTGCACGGTCCTTTGCTTGGCCGCAGGCAGACCGTTGGTGCTGCCGAGCGCTGGGCCCTGTTGCATGGAATTTGACATTTTCCGTTTCTGCGCGCCCCTGATATTTTGGCGGCCGCGCGGGTGGGCCAGAGGTGTTTTTCTTCTAGCCTGTCCGAGGCCCAAGGGGCCCGCGCGTCGATATGGCGGAACATGTTCGCGAGCTCGGGGCCCCGAGGCCCTCCCGCTTTCGAATGGGCCCCTGCTCACCCCGATTTGGAGCAGTTTACTTTGCAGTGCCCCGGCAAGCTTCCAGTGTGGCAAGTCGGAAATTCGTGGGCCGATTTCTTCGCAAAAGTCGGTGCTCGGTCGCGCGCAGTGTCTGGCGCGCACGTTGAAGCTGTCGCTCAGGAGCTCAAGCGCGCAAAGAAGGAGTGGAAGTTCTTTGCGTGGGCGACTGCCCAGCTTGCAGGTGCTAGAGATGCAGTGAACGCCCAGTTGAGGGAGGCTCCAGCTCATCAAGGAATGAAGCAGGTGGCCCCAAACAGTGTGAAGCTGCTGAATTTCTTGGAGCATGAGTTCTGGGCCCTGGGTCCTCGCGGTCGCGCGCGTCGGAAGTGCGGAGTCCAAGCCAGGGCCCAGGCGTCCTTCAGGCTGCGCAGCCAGGGCAGTGGCAGGAAGTGCGAGCCCCCGGAGGCGCAGAAGGCTTTGGTTCGCCTCGCCTTCTCTCATGGGGGCAGGTTGTCTCGAGCGTCCCTGATGGGGCCTCCTGAGGCGGTCCGTGTGGCGCTTGCGGCGGCTTCGGCTGTGCGCGATGGTTCGGGGCCGCCCGTGCGCCCTGGGGCCTCGTCTTCTGGGGGTGCCGCTTCAGGGGCCAGGGATGGCGATCCTTTTGCTGGTTTCACTGCCCGTGGGCATCGAATTCAAACGAAGGGGCCCTTTTTGTTTTGTCTGACTTGCGGCCCCTACTCGAGCCATCGGGTCGGGCCCCTTCTGAAAGGGGTCTGCAGGCAGCCTCTGAAGATGGCCGAGGGGGCCAGAGCTGCCTTAGATTTCATCCTGGAAGGCAAACATCATGTCCCGAAGGTGCCCGTCTAGTTGTTTCGGGCCCTGAGAGGCTGGCCTCAGCGGCCGCGCCGTGGGCCCCTGATCGCAGGGCGCTGGCGGGAAACTGGCTGGCGTCGCTATGATTGTAATCCTGTAACATTTACCGTCCGCTTCACGACCATAACCCCCCGCCCTCTCTTCCTCCTTCTCCTCCTCTCCATTCTCCTCCTCCTCGAAATTCCATCGCCTCGTCTCAACCGCCCATGCCAGACATTTCGAGAGGAACCACCGTGGGAATGAGCCCGCTCGTCGCGGTGAGGTTCCCATGTAAACGCGGGCCCCATGCGTGGTAGCGGGGCGCGTCGCTGACCTGGTAGCGGGGCAGGCCGCAGACTTGGTAGCTGAGCGGGCTGCAGACTTTGCATCGGGGCGAGCCGCAGACTTGGTAGCGGAGCGGGTCGCCGATGCGGCGCGTAGCAGAACGGATCGCATTCTTGGTAGCGGAGCGGGTCGCAGCTTTGGCAGCGGAGCGCGCCGCAGACTTGATGGCGGAGCGCGTCGCAGACGCGGCGGCGGAGCACGCCGGAGACATGGTAGCGGAGCACCGCGGAGGCGTCGGCGAATTAGGCGGGGCGCGTAGGTCGGACGCGGTAGTCGGGCGCGTAGTCAGGCGTTTTTTCTATAACAAGAACGCTTTTGCCTTCGGGGCCCCGCGCGTCTGCGGACGCGCGGGGGCTACCGATATCGATGTGCACGCTCGAAATTATAGCGCCGTGGAGCATCTGGGCGACGCGCGGGCGTCGCGTGGTCAGAGTTGGGTTGGCGGGCGTCGTTTGGTCGCGGGTTGGGTTTGTGGGCGTCGATGGTCGCGTTGGGTTGGCGGGCGTCGTTTGGTTTAGGTTGGGCGTTGGTGCTTTAGGTTGGGGGTCGTCGTTTGGGTTCAATTGGGTTGGAGGTCGTCGGCTGGGTTGAATTTATGGGTCGGTGGGCTGTGATTTGGGCGGGTTTGTGGGCTAGGTAAATGAGCGTCGTTTGGCTTGGGTTGATGGACTGCGTTCGCGGGCATCGTGTGGGCGTGGCTGGGTCGGCGGGCGTCGATGGTCGCGCTTGTTTGGCGGGCATCGCTTGGTCGCGTGGCACATGCCGCCTCGTTGCTCGAATGCGTGGTCGCGTGAGCGACGGCGCGCGAATGGGCGGCGTTTGATTTTCGCGCGCGCGAGCGAGGCGCGCGGAGCGACGCGCGAAATGGACAGTTAAATGTCGAGCGCGCGCGCGGGCGATGCATTCGCGATTTCCGCGATGAAATTTTAATTTCCATCGCGCTCGAAATTGTCGCCGCCGCGATCAAAATTCGAGAAACCGGAAATGCATCGCGCGCGATGCATTTCCAAGCGCCACCGACATCGATGTGCACGCTCGAAATTCTTGCATCGTGGGGCATCTGGGCCATCAGCGACGTCCTCGCCAGGGTGCCGGGCCCTTTCTCGCCGACTGTGGACTCGCGGCGCTTCGTCAGGGATGGATTCGACCTGGCGCCGCGCGCGTTGAACGCGAAAATGGTGGGCGATTTATCTTTTTGTTGCTCGTGCAATCTTCGCAGCGCCTCCGCCGCGCAGCTGCGCCTTCTCCTCTTCGACCCAAAGGCGGCGCGCCACCTTGGGAACAGGGGCATCCACGGGATGACTCGTAGGGTTCGCAAATGCGTGGGCCACGGTTTCACTTTCCGTCGCTGCTCGTCCGCTGCGATTCCCCGCTCGCTCGCGCCTTCGGAGAGGCGCGCTAGCGCCGCAGTGGTAGAATGGTGACCTCCTCTGAGGAGCCGCGCCTGGGGCGACCTGCGCTCGTCGCCGGGGCTCCTTCGGGGCGACCGGCGCGCGTTGCGGGAATTCCGCGCTGCGTCCCGCACAGCGCATCGTTTGCCTGGCGACGCTCTGCCCAGCGGCCAGCGCCTGGCCCGCTGTCGCCCAGCGAGCTAGCTTTGTTTGCTCCGCGCAGCGGACGACCCGCGCGCGTCGCGTGGACCCCTGCGGGTCAAACGGCGCGCGTCGCGGGGGCTCCGCGTTGGGTTCTGCCTAGAGCCGCTAGGCGCGAGTACACATCCTGCTCCGCCCCCCCCCCTTCACGCTCCTGCCCGCGCTGCCTCGCGCATCGTTCCACCTGTTTCATCTCCCCCGCGGCACTCGCAGCTGCGCATGGTTGGGTCCTTCGTCAGGCGAATTTTCGATCGATTGTTACTATTCGGTTCGTGTCGCATCCAATCTGAAAACTCATCCTGTCCATTCCCCCCCTCCCCCCCCCGCTCGCCTCCCCTGACCCGGACGCCGGGCGTCCTCCTCGGGACTGTAAGGGAAAACTGTCGTGTCCACAGGGCGGCGGCCCCATCGCGGGCGTTCAAGCTTGAGCGCCCCCAGTGGCTCAGAATCAAGCCGCGCGCGCCATCGCAAAGCCGCGGCCGTTCAAGGTCGAGCGATTCACGCGGCGTCAAAAACCAATGCCTGGACTGTTACGACCATCGCATCGCCGATGCGTCGGCGATGAGGTCTCTAATCCTGGAAGCGTGATTCGCTGGCTGGCGCCCCCGCAATGCACGCACGGGGCCTCGCCGTTGAGCCCATGGCCTTCGCAATGGAGCCGGCGCGCCCCGCCGCGCCGTGTTTCGTGGCCGGCGGGGCGCTGCAGCGGGAACCCCCGCGCGCCACGCGGCAGAGCCCCGCGTGGGACCCTGCCGCTGCTGTCGCCGGAGGCGTGCCCCCCGCGGCCTTTGTCGGCGGCGCCCCAACGCGCAAGTCGTTATTGCAGGAACGAGCCGCGTGCCTTTTCGGACATTTTCGTGTGATCCAGGGGGGTCCTGCTTCGAGATGCGTTCCAGCAGCTGCGCCTCGCCTAGCGCGTTCCCTTCCGGGGCGGGGCCCATATGGTCCCGAACGGTAATTTTACATTCGAGTTTCGACCCGAGATTCAGGGCTGGCGGAGCGCATGGATCGCGAGGGGGCGGCCTTCCGACAGGCCGGATTCGCTCCTAACAAAACGCCTTCTTTCTGAGAAGCCCCTCTGCGTTTTCAGAAGGCCGCCCCCCTCGCGCTCCCCCCCTTGAGGCGGGCCTGGTAGTTGGGGTCTTGTGAAATCGCGGTCCCCCCCTTTAGGCGGGCCTGGTACTTTGGGTCCTGGCTCCCCTCGCGGTCCCCCACCAGGCGTTTTCGCCCCGCTTCGGGCCCCGGGGCCATCGTTCGATCGGGTTGGGAAAATGCAGCAGAGAGGGAGGGTCCAGGTCTCCGGTTGTGCTTTGTTCGTTGTCTTGCGCTTTTGTTTGCCATTTCAGATCTCAGGGTCAGTCGAGATAAATAGATTCATGCCGCTTGTCTTTCTTCGTCGCAATGTCGAGGACGTTCTGCTCTGCTTCCGCGTGCCGCTGGCCTCCGAACCTCGTCGTCGACGCCGCCGTCGAAACTCGTCGTCGTCGATGAGGTCGTCGTCGCTGTCGTCGTCGTCGTCGTCGTCGCCGTTGTCGTCATTGTCGTCATTGTCGTCGACGTCGTCGTCATTGTCGTCGTCGTCGTCCGCCACCACCACCACCACTGAGGCATGCATCCGGCAGGACGCGTGGGCGGAAGAGTGCGCGATTGGCACCTTTTCGGGTCAATCACACCAGTTGCGAGAATGCGGCACGCCAGTGAAACGGAAAATGTGGTTCACATGATATATCGGTCACACCCGACAGTGGGGCAGGACAATAAACGCAGCAGTGCATGAGAGGTGCGAGAAGAGGACAAGACACGGCGAGGGAGGGGAGGACGACGAGGACAGAGAGGGCCCAGGGGAAGCCTCAGGGGTGCTGCGTCAACTCGTACACCTGGTGCGCCCACTGCTGTTGGGGCGGGCCGCGTCGCTGGCGTTTCACCCACTGTCTGGGGTTGCTGTCCCGATTGCAGAAGCAGTGCCGTATTAAGGATGATGGTCCATTGGAAGCAATTCTAATATACCTATACGACCACCCTTCGGGTGATATGGAGGTTGCGGGGGCGGGGGGAGAGGGGGGGGAACCAACATGTGACTCAGTCGATCTCACTATCGATCTCACTCAACGGGACACCACGGGACACCGCGGGACACCTCTCCATCTCACTATCGATCTCACTCAACGGGACACCATAGGACACCACGGGCCACCACGGGACACCGCGGGACACCTCTCCATCTCACTATCGGTCTCACTATCGATCTCACTATCGATCTCACTCAACGGGACACCATAGGACACCACGGGACACCTCGAGACACCACATCGATCTCAGCATCGATCTCACTATCGATCTCAGTATCGATCTTACTCAACGGGATACCACGGGACACCACGGGACACCGCGGGACATGCGAGCCACCGCCGGACGGGCGGGCGGGGGAAAATCATTTGTCTTGATTTCGCCGTAGCAACGGCGGACACCACGGGACACCACGGGACACCGAGGGCCACCGCCGGACGGATGGACGGAGGATAATCATTTGTCTTGATTTCTCCGTAGCAACCGCTGACACCACGGGACACCGCGGGACACCGAGGGCCACCGCCGAACGGACGGACGGAGGAGAAATATTTGTCTTTATATCGCCCTAGCAACGGTGGGTTCATTGCGCCCACGCAGCTTCGCCTCGCCCGCACGCACGACACGAACGAAACGAAACGATTTCCCGGTTGGGGGTCTCCGTTCCACTGCGAGTTCACCCCCCAACCTCCGATAATTGATCTCCGGAAGCGGTTCCGCGCGCTCTCGCCTCGACGCCGGCTGCAATTCCTATGAAAACGAGGCTCCCGCTCGAGCGCGGGCTTGATTGTAAATGTGCGACCTTGGAGGCCCGGCTACGACGGCAACGGCTCCCGAACGATTTTATCTCAAAATTTACTTCGATATACCCTCGCCAGGGAGGCCCCCAGACTCAGGCACGCCGCTCTCGTTCGAGGCTTCTTCGCAATCAATTAAGTTGGCGCAGGCCAAGCCACGACGATCAGGGCTCCTGTTCCATATTTCCTCATGATTTACTCCGAGAGCCTCTGGCCAGGAAGGCCCCCGACTCAGGAGCTTCGCTCTCGCTCGAGATTGTCTCGTGATTCAGTCATGTTGGTGGAGGCCCAACTACGACAACCAGGGCTCTTGTTCGATATTTCCTCAAGATCTACTCCCAGATGCCCTGGCCAGTGAGGCCTCCAAACTCAAGAACGGCGCTCTCGCTCGAGACTTTTTCTTGATTCGGTCAAGTTGGTGGATGCCCAACTACGACGACAAGGGCTCTCATTCGATACTTCTCTATATGTATTCCGAGAGCCGCTGGCCAGAGAGACTCCCGAATTCTGGATCGTCTCGCTCTCGCTCGAGACTGTCGTATTTCAGTCAAGTTAGTGGAGGCCCAGCCACGACAACAAATGCTCCCGTCCGATACTTCCTCAAGCTCTACTTCGAGACCACCTGACCCGAGAGGCCCCATCCCCTGGCCACGGTTTTATTGTCGCGGTGTCGCCTGAGGCTCGGGCGCTTTTCGATGCGCAGTCCGACGCAGCGGCGCGGTGCATCAAGCCGATGCACGCGTGCCATTGCAAACGCGCGCGCGCCGCCCCCGCGCCTACCTGCCCCGTCGGACGCATCCCTTGAGGGGTCACGTGCCAGCGCGCTCATCGACGTCAGCTGGCTGGAGGCAAGGGCCAGCCTCGACCCCGAGTACACAGGCACTACTAAGTCACAGAACGAGTCGATCAGGAAGCGGACCCGTGCGCACGATGTCCGATTGACGCCCGCTACCCCACGGCACCCAGTCGTCCTCCATCACAACCTCTCCTCCTCCTTGGAGACCCGGGCCAAGAAAGAGAGGTGGATTTTCTCTTGGCCAGCAGACTTCGCCGTCGAATGCGACGGAGCTGAGCCTGACCTGCACGCAATCCTCTCCGCCCAAGGGCCCAACGCAGACGAGCTCGGCGACCTGAAGGTGTTATGACCACGCGAGTCCGGGACGACCCATCGCGAAGACCAGCGGTAAAGACTCCGGGGGGCGGCAGCGACATTCCAGCTGCCAAATGCTCGTGGGATATGACGCGTCGTGGGGACCGCTCCACGACAACGACGACACTGCTCCGCGACCTGTGAATCCAGGCGACGCCCACAACAGGATTGATTTTGCTCCCGAGACAACACGGCGCGACCGTATCAAGCAAGCGCTGGCTGAGATGTACCATGCCAAAGGTGACCAGTGCGACCTCTGGGGGCTGACCCTCCCCGTCTTGCCGCATCTCGTGACATTCGGCACGGCAGACCGCGTTGACGAGCAATCCGCGACGATGCTTATCAGAACAGCCTTCTGGGATACTACCTGCGGCTGCGTGCTGTGGCCATTGTCGGCGGGGACGTCCCCGACCCCGACGGCTACGTCTTCCCGGCGCCCGAGATCTCTTCCATTGCAGGCGTCGCGGAAGAAGAGATTAACCAGCTCCCCGGGACCGTCTACCAGCGAGCACTTCCCGCCCCTAGCTTACAGTGCCTTGGGAACGCTTTGACTGCCCACCAGCTCGCCATAGGACACGCCGTGATCCTCGAGCCCAGCACGCATCATCTGGTCACGGTTTGCGAGGGCCCCACCGGCTCTGGGGAAGCCAGGATGTCTACGGCGCTGGCGGCCGCTTGGGGTCAGGATGCGCCGAACGGGCGCCGCGTCGTTGCCTGTGCTGGTTCCAGCGCTGCAGCAGACCAGACGGCAGTCGTCCTCGCGCAAGCATGCAATGACGGGCGCCTCAGTGACTTCGCGGAGTGTTCCTCGCGCGCCGTGCGACTCGCAAAGTAGGAGAGGCTAAGGCGGTTGCCGTGACACCTTCTAGCCACTGCGCAAGAGCCTGCGGACAGCCTCCCTACGCGACCGACCGACGCTATCGGACTTTCGCCAGGTACCTGGATGGCATGCCTCGGGACTCCTGCCTCACCTTGTCCACGCGCGAGGCCGGAATTCAGCTCGACAAACCGACCGGGCCCAAAATCGCCATGGTGGTCGTGGATGATGTGGCTAGAATGCGGAGACACGCGCGGCAATCCCCTGATGCAGCGTTGTGTTGTCACCTGCGGTGGCCACGTTGCGTTCATCGGCAAACCGCGCCAGCTGCCCCCCGCGGTGAAGTCCAAGAGCGCACCCGCTTCGGGCATGGGAATCTCCATCTTCGAGAGAGTGCAAACGTCCCCGGGGGAGGACAGCGAGGCCGTTGTTTACTTTGCACGGCGTTGCAGGATGCATCCCGACGTGCTGGCACTTCCCTCCTCTGCCCTTTGCGGGGGAAGAGTCGCGTCGGCATTGGCGGCCCCCTTGGAGGAGCGCGCCATCGCCTCCGGCCTTCCTTGTGTGAAGCACCAACCTATCGACGAGAAACGGGCCCGACGACTCGCCGCTCACCCTGAGAAGGACGCCGACGCAGTCCTACGGGAGATCGACGGCGCACGCACTCACAATATGACTCTTGGGGACGTCCACCACGTCTTTCTGGCACACCACCCAGCGCAGGATGCGCCCCTGGCAGCGCAGGGCGGCTACGCCAACATCCGGGAGGCGGCCATTTGCATCGACATTGTTCGCGAGTTGACCACCGCCGAGGGACTCGGGCATCGCGGTCGAAGTTATCAGCGGCTACGCGGCCCAGCGGAGCGTGCCGCGCGAATGGCGGCCCCAGACCAGGCGCGAATTCGCCACCAGCACGCGCGACCTGACGCGGAAACCCAGGATCGCGCCAACCAGGGACAATCAGGGGACATCCGCGCAATGAACACCCAGACCCTCGAAAAGCCAAGGGGCCGCTCCCCCGCCGGCGCTCTGGCCTCGGCCACATCCAGTCTGGATCCCAGCATGCGCCCGACAGAAGCACCTAAGCGACGGCCAAGACAAGACCCCATCAGGTGCGTCTTCCCCGACCTTTCCACGGATGACAACGGCCTTAGGGTGAGTTTCTCAGGCCCGGCGGACGAATTTGCCGATTTGCTCAGCGCCGGTCAGCTTTCCCTCTCCACCGTCGGTTCCAGCCAAAGGGGCGAGGCCGACGTAATGATGTATGTCGCTACCCGGTCCAACTACCAGCGCGACTGGGGCGTCATGGACAACCGCGACCGTGCCGACGTCGCCGCCCCCGGGGCTAAGTGCTTTGTCGCCCTCATCGGCGACGCTAGGATGTTTAGCGCAGCCAGCGAGAGATTGTTTTTTTATCCTCTGGGGGGTAACGCTCGTTACCCGGGCCTCCCCCCCCCCCCCCCGTAACGGTAACGCTCGTACGCGGGGGGGTCTCGGTCTTCCCCTCCAACATGCTGGTGCCCGAAGGCATGCGCACTGTGGTGTGGTGGTCGCAGGCGCACTGTGGGCGCTCGCAGGCCATTGCGGCGCTCGCATGCGCGATGCTGGTGCTTGCGGGCTTTGCGCTTGTACTCGAATCGTCGTCGTCGTCGTCGACCTCGTCGCTCGTCGCTCGTCGATCATCGTCGTCGCGCGCGCGGGCGCGGGCGTGGTGCCGGGACCACGCGGCGGGCTTTGCGCTTGTACTCGAATCGCAAGCCACTGTGGTGCTCTCAGGCAGAGAGTGCTGCTCGCGCGCATACTATGGCGATCGCAGAGCGCCCCTGCTTCGCCATACCCCGCCCAGCCCAAGCGTTACCGTTACCCGGGGGGCACGACCCCCCCCCCCCCCCCCCCCCTCCCAGGTAACGAGCGTCACCGGCCGGAATAAAAAAATGATCTCCGAGTCCATGCTCGCCGCGTGGGCCGCCAACCTCTGGGCACGCTTTGCCGATGACAAGCGCCTCGGGACTCGTCGACGGATGGGCGTCGACAGAGGGTGGAACTGCGCCGAAGGCGCGCGAAGCTGGGCCCCGCCTCAGCAGCATACCAGCCACGGTTCCGACATTGACCGCGCCATGGCTAGGGCCATGGAAAGCCGGGCTAAAGGTGCTGCTTACTACGCTGATCCCCCACTCGACAAGGATTTCGATCGGAACAAGTCGCCCAACAGCTGAACGTCGCGCTCCGCGCCCTTCTGGAGGCGCCCGCTCTCGCCACTGTCCTTTTACCCGGCGAGTGGACTACGCCCGCGCGGGGGCGGCATGGCCAACCAACCAGCAGACCCATTCCAATGCGACCGCCAGATGTTTAGTCGCAAAGGCTTCCCATACGACGTGATCTTCGGCATTGCTGGTAATCTGGATTGCAGCGCGCCGTGGGCTGCCTCGACGCGGGCCTGCGGCCGCGGACCAAAGTGGGGCGATGAGGACGCAACGCAGCAGCGCAAACAGAGGACCTGCAGAGCTGCCCAAGACGCGGTTCAAGGCGGCGGCGCCGCCCTACCCCGGGGAAAGGCACGCCGCCTGACATGGAGCAGGCGCCGGGGGCGTTCCACCGCGCATGCAGCAGGCGCCGCGCGCGCCCGGGAATGGCCGGCCTCGAAGCCATCCCCCGCGGGCAGGCTGGACCCAACCCCTTGCTCAGCGGTTGGGCCAGGAGAGGCGCCGACCCTGTTCCGTTGGCGCAGGCACGGGTCGCACTCATTTGTACGATGCTTACAGCGAGGGGACCCAAGACGCGCATGTTTCCGCACTCTGACCAGGAAGGAACGGGCGACGTGATCGAGGCCATCCTCGGAATCTGCAAGTCCGGCAGCGCCGCGGGCGCCGCGTCCGCTTCCGAGGAAGCCAGCTCCCGCGAGCTCTTTGGGAAGACCTGGGGATTGCTAAAGGACGACCCCATGCACGTTTCGTTGACGCCCTGAGGCACATCAGTTGCCCAGCCCGCGTGAGGTGGCTAGCCTCGGGCGCGCGCTGGGCGCCCTTCGGGCTACCTGATGGGCGGCGCTCACTTGCGCAGTCCTTTAGCGCCGATCATATTTGTCTTCGGGGTCACGCGCGCATGGCTCGCGGCGTCGGCCGACGGCCATCTGAAATTCTACCTGTGCGACGAGGTTGCCCCTTGGCTTCGGGGCGCGCTGGTCGCGGCTACTTGGATGACTGCCGCCGCATCCAATCGGCTCGTCCTCCGTTCACTCGGGGTTCGCTGTCCGCGATTCTCCGCGGGGTCCACGCGCGCGGCGCCGCCGCCCGCGTTGCGGGCGCCTGGGGGCGTTCTCCGCGCCATTTTGGCTGCGTATTCCCCGTTGGCTCGGCGATGTCCTTGTTCGGCGTGGCGGTCCACCTCCATCCGTTGTTTGTCGTTCCTCTTCGTCGTCCTCTGCGTGCTCTCGAGGTATTTGCGGCCGTGCCCACGTGCTCTTCGCCGCCGGCACGCTCTCCGGCAGCTGGCCGCTGGCTGGGCGGTACTGCTGTGCTCTTCCGCGCGTTGCCGCTTGCGCTGCTTCTGACTTCGCCACGGGCGCGGCCCGCCCTAGCACGCTCGGCGTTCGAGTCGTTTCGCGATTCCGCGGACCAGAACATGTCCTCATAAGCCCATGCAGAAATAGTTTGCCAGGCGAGTTGAATCGTTGTTGTTAGAGATTATGTGGGGTCTCTAGTAGCCAAATTGGGGCACTCTCGAGGCCCTCTTGGGGCCGTTTGTGGGGCTCTCTGAGGGCCGTCTTGGGGCCCTCTTTGGGCTTGGGCGGGCCTGCGAGGTCTCGCGCAGCCGCCTTTGCCCCCGCAGCTCAAAAGAAGGGGGGGGGGGGTCAATTCAGCCCCCCCCCCCCCCCCCCCCCCCCCTCGGATGCTCAAGCGTTGCCTCTTAGGGCCTTTTTAGGGCGCTCTTGGGGTGCTCTTGGGCGCTCTTGGGCCCCTGTCGGGGTTTTCAGTGGCCGTTTTGGGGCCCTCTTGAGGCCCCGGGTTCCCGCTCGAAGCGGAAAAGCGAGAACGCACAAATCATTGATCCCACATTGGTTTTGAAACCATGTTGGGCTCGTCGGGGGGTCCTTGGAAGGCCCGGGGGGCACTTGGAACCTTCTCGGGGCAGTCTTAGGGCGCATTCGATGCATTTAGTTGGCTATACTGAGCCATAGTTATGTTGGATTATCTCGGAGACCATCTTGGGCGCTCTAGTGCCTCGCGCCCCCCCATCCCCAGGCCCACGAGCGGGGGTTGGGGGAGGTATCGAAACACCCTCCTAGATAGCAAACCGCCTAGTGCATTCCCACCCGCCCTCCCAACACATGAGTAACTCCCGAGCCTCAGCATGTTCAGCGGTCGTCGTTGGACAGCTATTGGGAGCTCAAACCGAGCCCGTGTGCGCGACGCTGGGGCGAGGTGCGCCACGCCGGCCAGGCGCTCCACATGCGCCAAGCACCCTTGGGGCCCGAGCGTGCCAGGCACGCCTGGTGCGCCAGGTGCGCCACGTGCTTCCGCGTGCGCCAGGTGTGCCTCAAACTTCAGCCGCGCCAGGTGAGCCACGTTCGGGGCACGTGCAAAGTGTGTCATGTGCGCATGCGAAAGTGACAGCATACATCGGGAAACATGTTGGCGTCCACCATCCATGCCGAAAGCCAATGCCCATCATTGTGTATGGTGGGCCTGCAGACAACAGGCCATGCGCCACCACTTGACAGCGATCGCGGGGTGGCCGCGCATGCTCCAGATGTAGCCGCGAGGTTCATTGTTTGTTGTTTGTTTTGTCAGGGTTGGTAGCCCTGCCACCCCCGCCGTCCCTGTCAATATAATTTCACCAGAAAACAGCCCCAACCAGTCGATGGTTGGAATTTCGTGATATGGATATTGAGATCGGCTGCGATATCTATAGTGATACCGATCGTGGAATTAATCGCAAAAGCGATGGTAATGTCGATCGTGAGATCGCGCGTGCGATCTAAAGTGGGATCGACTGAGAGATTAATAGAGGTCGATGGTGAGACCGATCGATAACGGGATCGACCAAGAACCCGCGAACCCAGAAGCCGGGGAACCCCGCCGCCCACCAGAATCGGTCCGGAACCAGCAACCGTGAACCCGGGAACCCAAAACCGGGAACCCGGGAGCCCAGCCGACTACGTACCAAAATCGGCCAGGCATTTGCGCCAAGTTTTTCAATGTCAACGGGAACCCACTCGGTCCAAGCGTTGATTTGGGAGCAATGCAGTGCCCGCGGGATTCACCAACATGACTCCAGACTTTGCCCCAGAGTGTCTTTTGTATTGATTTTTGACGGATGGTTTGGGGTGGCCTTCATGGGGTCATCATGGTTCTTGGTTGGCTACCAGTCGCCTGGGGGAGGGCGTGTTGATTAATAGGCCCCTCCCCCAAGCAGGGGAAGGAGAGGTTGTGGAAAGAGAGAAGACATAACTCGTTGTACCACCTACGCCAAGAGGGCTCGTTGGATTCAGAAGCAGCGGCGGAGGCCCACTTGCGACGACAGGGGCTTCTGCTCCAGTCGCCCTTGCAACTCACTCCTAGACGCCCTGGCGAGAGAGGCCCCCGAGCCACAGAGGCCCCAGCACTCTGCTCACTGAGGCATACAGCCCACAGAGGCCCCAAGCGAGCCTTCAGCCCCAGCACGCTGCCCACAGAGGTCCTCGAACAGAGCCCACAGAGGCCCCAAGCGCGCCCAAAGAGGCCGCAGAGGCCCCAAGCGCACCCACAGAGGTCCCAGCACACTGCCCACTGAGGCTCTCGGACGCGCAGCCACATAGGCCCCAGCACGCTGCCCATCGGACACAGCCCGCAGAGGCCCCGGCACGCTACCCACTGAGCCCCCATACTGCTAATCCCGTGTTCCATCCTTCTCTCTCCTCCTTCCATCCGTTCTCATTTCCCTTGTTGTAGGGGCTGTGCTAAATGCACGCGGCAGGTAAGGTGCTCCCAGGGGGGAACGATCAAAGACGAAGAGTGCGGGTATCTATGGTTTTGGGATGTACGTGTTGAATGGCACGCGAGCTGGTAAGAGCGCTCGGCCCCCGGCGGCGCAGGCAGGGGCTTCGCCCAGCCCGAGCCCGGCTGGACCGCGCAGCTGGCCGCCAGCGTGGCCGGCGGCTTCACGCTGGCGCTGACCCGCAGGAGCGGTTCTGCCTCCTCTTCTTCTTCTTCTTCTGCTTCTTCTTCTTCTTCTTCTTCTATGTCTTCTTCTTCGCGACGGCACCGAGAGTTGGAGCCGACTGGTGGTCTGATGTGGCCCACCATTGGTTCTGACCAAAGGGCGGGCAGGTCCGAGGCGCTGGGTGCGGGATGCTTTTCGTTTGTTTCGGCTTCCGGGGGGTCGCTTTGAGCCCCAAGGCCGTCAGAGACGGATCCAGCGTGGAAATTGCACCAGATGGTCTCTGGGAGGTCAGTAGACCGATTCTGAGCGGATTTGGTTTCTCCCTTTTCCAGGCGATCTTCTGGGGTCCCAACGAGTTCACACTCCCCAGCCGCCTCCAATTCGTTAGGTCTTTGCTCAGGCCAAACACCTCCATCCTGGGTATCGGTAACGATTTTGCGCAGGGGTGGCTTGGACCCCCAGCCCCCCCACATGCTGGTGCTCACGGACAGACGTTTGCGATCGCATCGCACCCCAGCCCTGACGTGCCCCATCCCGCCCAAGCGTTCCCGTTACTTGGGGCTCCAAGCCACCCACCCACACTTTTGGGTAACGATCGTGACCAGACATGATACAATTATTTTTGAAGCACGACAGCTGCAGCGAGGTACTGATTTCAAAAGAAGAGAAACAAATATGGGTGTTGCCAGAGTCGGTTAGGTGCCGCGCACACCCGGCGCCCTTCCTATGACAAGGGAGAGTTTGCGAGGTGCCGCGCACACCTGGGTGATATGTGCCACCCTCCTCGGTTCCTGCTCCCTTGCAACCAAGTTTTCTTCCTTGCCCTCAGCAGGCACTATTGGACCACATTGGTCCCTCAGACGTGCTCTTCATATTGATTTGTAGTCACCAGCAGCGGCTGAAACATATGATTTGTAGTCACCAGCAGCATCGCTAAGCTCTCGGCCTTTCACGCGAGCGTCATGATCAAGACCGTGGTGGAGAGGTTCCTTCTTCCCGAGCCTTTCCACACTTGGAGGCCGCCAGGTGACGACCTCCTGGCGCGCGTGCAGTGGGTCAAGGGCGACGACGGTATCCCGCTGGCCAACACCGAGCTCTTCTCTAATGGCGCGGTCTTCGAGGCTGGACAGTCGTTCGCCATCTCTGCCGGTGCGGTAGTCGAGCTGCCGCCCGGCGAGCCGCAAGGAGATTTCTGAGATTTGGGGCCCAGGGTTGCGATCAAGGTGTCAGAGCGCCGATTTCAGGTCCTTCGCAGTCCACCGAGGGGGCGGAGTTGCTGGGGCTGCCCGTGATTCTCAAGCATTCCTTGCCAGTCGTTGCGGCCTCGTTCGACGCCTCCTTTGTCGCCGGAGGGCTGCTCGAGCGCGTGCGTGCAGACACCGCCGAGGCAACGGCGGCCTGGGGGGTTCAGTGGCGCAGGGCACGGCATGCGCTCGACGACTTCGGGGGCTTGAGCGACCAGGCCCCCGCTGTCAAGAAGATCAAGGGCCGCTCCGCTGTGGAGCTGGCAGGGGAGCTCGCTAGGCGCGACAGGCGAGGCCACATGGAGGCGGACAGGTATGCCAGGTGCGTCGCACAGGTGTTCCGTTCTCCTGCTGGTGTCAGGAAGGCTCGCGAGGTCAGGGCCCTTACTCTCGTTGGAGCTGCTCACTGGGTTGAGGCCGCTGGTGGCGAAGCGGCTCAGCTCCGACAGGACTTCGACGAGGACTACAAGGAGTGCTTCAGGGCCCCGGCCCTCTCGCGGACGAAGCACGAGACCATCGAGATCGCGAACGACGGGGTCCACTGCGTCAAGTGCTTCAGGTTTGCTTGGGGAGCGAATGGCACCAAGAAGCTCTACGGCCACGCGCTCAAGTAGAAGGCCTTCGCCGGGGCGCCAGCGGGGCCGAGCGCAGGAGGACTGACTCGGGCACGCCCGCGGCTGGGGCGGTCGCCGTGGCCCTTGCCTTCGCGAGCAGGTTCGAGGCCGAGAGCCCCACGGCTGACCCTGAAACTGAAGATGGTGGGGAAGCAGGAGCCGCGGGCGTTGGCACTTCCTCGGGGCCTGGCTCCCACGGCGTCGCGAGCGAACGCGACTTGCACTCCATCTGCGGGCGCCGCGCGCGCAAGAGGTGCCACTTCTACGCGAGAGAGACCAAAGGCAAGCACAGGGTGCTCGGCGGCCAGTGCCTGCCCGCGTCGGGCGAGCTGCTGAGGGAACTCGAGCTGATCAGCGCTGATCGCGACACGAAGCCGGGCAGACCGCAGAGGCGCTCACTTCCTCTTGACCGGTGGCCTCATCAGTTGAGCGGAAGATCGGGACAAGTCGGAACCAGAGATTCTGGGAGAGTTCCAGAGAAAAATAGAACGCCGATTTGTGGAGCGTAGCGCGCGCATTCGCAGAAGTTCCCAAAGAGTGTTCGCGGGCTTGAGGCGCCCAAGTAACACATGGGCGCTCAATTAAACTGTTAAGGGCGGGCAAAAAATCTGGTGTGCACGAGCATTGCGAGCGGGCGGGTGCGCGGCTTGCACGGGGGGCGCAGTAGGTTTGCGTTTCAGGGACTTGGGCGCTGGCCAATGCGCCGATGGGGGGCCCGAGAATGCGTCACGCATATTATGCCTGTGGCGCCATGGAGGCCGCATTTGCGTGGGCGGGCGCCCCGCCGCGCGCACCGTGGCGACAGCTCTCTTGGGCGCCCGCCCGCCGCCGTGGACGTCGTGGACCCAGCTAGTCTCTCGGTCGGCGCGCGGCGGGTCGGCAGCCACGACGCTGGCGGCCTGAAAATGCTTCGAAAGTGTTTCTCCCCGAGCCCGGGGCTATTGTACGTTTTCGGTGGCACGCGCAGCTCGGAGAAAAATCGCCTTGTCCGTCGGCGGCCAGTTGGCTGTCGTCGCGCAGAAGTACCGGCGGATGGCGCGGTCCACGCTCAGCGCAGAGAGCGTGTCCATGAGCGTGGACTCGTCGAGGGGCAGAAGGAAGGACCTCGCGGTCGGGACCATCGCGGCCCGCGATGTCCACGGCCCCCACCCTGGGCGCGCGAGGACCTGCTGGGCGCCGCCGCAGCGCGATTTCAGAGGATCTCGGAACCAGAAATCCGGGCGCGCCAAATTTCGCGGGCCGAAAAACTTTCAGAGAGTTTCGGCCAGCTCCGAGGTTGTGGGTTTATGGGAATGTTTCACGCGGGGTGGCTAGTTCAGAGATTTTCAGAGATTCTCAGAGAAGTTCGGACGCGAGAATTTGGCGCGCCCCCGTTTCTGGTTCTGTGAATCTCTGAAAAGCGGTTCCTCAGGGTTCACCGGGTCTCCAGGCGTCCTATTGTCAGCCAGAGACGAGCGACTGGCTGGCGCCGCGCCCGATGCTTCCGGAGTTGCGAACTCGGTCTTCGATTCCCTGGGGCCCGCGGGCCCCTGGGCCAATTGCGAGGCTGCCGAGGCCCCCAGGCGGTTGCGCGCGATTGTCTCGGAAATCGGAGTTGGGCATCCATAGTGGACGCCCGCGCGCACGCGCTAGGTGTCCGCGAGATTGTTCGGTGGCGGATCTTGCATGGCGCGGGGATTCTCCAAAGACTTTCCGGGGTGTTCTCTACGGTTATTTCGGCGCGCTTCGGGAACCTTGGGGCGGCGCGGGGAAGTCGCCTGGCCGCGCGCGTGACTTGTTTTCCAATGCCGTCTTGGGCATTATCGCGGTGTTGCTTGGCCGAAGAGGTCACTGAGTAACACGATGTTTGACATTTTAGTGCTTTTTCGTTGCGTTGGTTGCGTGATTGTTTTGGCGGTCCGCCTCCTTGGGACCCCCTTTGGGCTTCAAGTTTGTTTTGTTGACGTCGGGCCTTCTGGAGTGAAAGGCGCTTGGCGCTGAATTCCCTCGGTCGTGCGCGTGGCCAAATACGCGCCGTGGCTTCATCCGCGCCGGGGCGCTTCTCTTCCCTCGCGAAGCCGATGGCGCCCAAGGCGTGGCAGGCCCGTTCGGCGGCGCCCCCGGTGATTTGAAAAACCGAGCATGATTTTTATCCCGATCAAATTTTGCCCCGATCCCGTCTTCATCTTACCTCATGCAGTGCCGCGGGCCCTCTGGCCATTGTTGCGAGGGCGCGGGCGGCTGCGCCATTGCGCGGCCCAGTGGCGGCCCCAGCTGGGCGCCCTGCGGCGAGGGCGCGAATGGTGCGCGCAGCGTGCGCCGCGCGAGTGGTGAAAAAAAACCAGAGTGGTTCCGTCCACGTGCGCCCCGCGCTTATTTCGGCACGCTCATCACACGCTTCGTGGTCCCAAAGGGAGCTCCGGTGAACGCCCCAGTGGTTGCGTCCACATGCGCCCCGCGCCGGCTTCGGTATACCCCTTACACGCTTCGTGGCCCCATAGGGAGCCCCGCCGAAGGCCCCGCTGGTTGCGCCCACACGGCGCCCCCCCCCACGCTTCGCGGCTCCATGGGGAACCCCACCGAAAGCCCCAGTCTGCCCATTTTGACACACCCCTCGCACGTTTCGTGGCCCCACGGGGAGTTCCACCGAAGACGGCTTTTTCAAGTACGATTCTCACAATTGCATATGCTTGAGTCTTTCGCTTGGTTGAGTCTGCTTTGTCTGATTCTCCCTGCAAAAACGATGAGGAAGCGGAGGGGGAGCTTAAGGAAACGGAGGACAAGGCTACTTCGGCATCACCGCGCCACTTTTACAGCCAGCACCAGAGCAGGATTACTACCATGTTAGGGCGTTCTTATTACAGTGCGATTGCATCACCACTTCATCAGCGCGACGCTCACATACATTACAGTGCGATTGCATCACCAAGTCATCAGCGCGGCGTTCACATAACTACGCTGCTAGAGAACCTCACCATAACCATGTCATTTCAATAACAAACTGGTTACTTGCACAGTGCTACCGTACGAGTACTACAGCCAACCACTATTACAGTATTCTTGCTAATTTTGAGCCATGCCCCCACCACCATATCATTAGACAATTACAACTACTACTTTGCCAGTCCGCCACCACGTACCACAGTTCGTGGGTGCGAGTGCAATGCCAATGTATTTCTACGC